CTACACTCTTTATTAAGATTAAAGAAAACGATATGCTATTAGTGCAAATATATGTGGATGATATCATATTTGGTTCTACTAATCCTTCTTTATGTGAAGAATTTTCTAAATGTATGCATAGTGAGTTTGAGATGAGTATGATGGGAGAACTCAGTTTCTTTCTTGGACTTCAAATCAAACAACTCAAGAATGGTATCTTCATCAATCAAGAGAAATACACTAAAGATTTGCTCAAAAGATTCAAGTTCAATGGAGGTAAGATTGCAAGAACTCCCATGAGCACATCCACTAAGCTTGACAAGGATGAAAAAGGTAAAAGTGTGGATATTAAAGCTTATCGAAGTATGATTGGATCTTTACTTTACTTGACCGCTAGTAGACCCGATATTATGTTTAGTGTATGTCTTTGTGCTAGATTTCAATCTTGTCCTAAGGAATCTCATTTACATGCCGTTAAGAGAATATTTAAATATTTGCTTGGAACTATTGATCTAGGATTGTGGTATCCTAGAAATGTTGAATTTAAATTGGTAGGATATTCTGATGCAGATTTTGCCGGAAGCTTACTTGATCGTAAAAGTACTAGTGGAACTTGTCAATTTCTTGGTAGTTCCTTAGTTTCTTGGTTTAGTAAAAAGCAAAATTCGGTTGCCTTATCTACTACCGAAGCGGAATATATTGCGGTTGCTAGTTGCTGTGCTCAAATTCTTTGGATGAAACAAACTCTTTGTGATTTTGGATTAAAGTTTCATAGTGTGCCTATATTTTGTGATAATACAAGTGCTATTAATTTAACTAAAAATCCTATTCATCATTCTAGAACTAAACATATTGACATTAGACATCATTTTATTAGAGAGCATGTGCAAAATGGACATATTATTCTTGATTTTGTAAACTCTAATAATCAACTGGCCGATATTTTCACCAAGCCATTGAATGAAGAAATTTTTTGCAAAAATAGGCTTGAGCTTGGTATTATTCGTTGTGATATATCTTGAATTTTATAATTTTTGAATGCATGTTTTTAGGGGGAGCCATTATGTCATTATTAAATGCATTCTCTTTCAATTGTTCATTTTGATGATTACAAAGGGGGAGAAAATTAAGAAAAATATGTTCTAAATTTGTTATTTTATAATTTATGAATCATTTACTTGGTATTTCATAATTTCTTGAGGCATTAATATAAGGGAGAATATGCTCTTGAGTGAAATTTATGATAATATATTAGTATGTAGTGATATTATTACATGGATGTTGCATTATTGGTTTTTATGAATTTTTCTTTAAATGATTTGTCATCATCAAAAAGGGGGAGATTGTTGGCTTATTGGCCCTTGATCGCACATTAATTAATTTCAATGAATTAATTATTGATGTTTTGATGATAACAAACCTACTTTTAATTATTAACTATTTTCAGTTTTTTGACCTGTCCACAGTATAAGGTCGGGAATAACGATTACAACAACTTTTCAATTCCTCAAATCAGAGCTAAAACGAAGAAATTAGAGTCGAGACAACATACCCGACGTGATGATGTGGCAACAAAATCAAAATGAAGGACAAATCAAAATATATCAAAGTATGACATTTATAATATTGGAAGAGTAACACATGGTGGAGTTTTTCTTATTATTACATTTCTAAATAAAATTATTTTTACAAATATAAATTTGCATATAACCGTTACTCACATCGAATTTTATTATTACTATATTATATTATTATATTATTATATTTATAATAAATTTTGAATTACATTTGACCGTTACTCACATAACTTTTTATTATTATTATATTATATTACTATTATATTAAAATTTTGAAATAAATGAATTTAGAAAATTTTCTTACTTAATTACTTTTAATCTCCACCTTCCATTATTCCTAACACAATCCAATGGTCAATATTCAATCCTACATTTTGCCACTTTTCTCCTCTATATAAACTCATCTTCCCCACATTTTTAAAACATACAACTTACATACATTCTTCAATCCTCATTTGTTCAAAGTCTCCATTGTTTATTGCTCTCTCCAAGCTTACAAGTTTATTTCTTTTCATCTTATTCTTGAGAGGGATTATTATTATATTGTGAGGAAATAGTTGTCAGTATCCCAAATTGTAAATCTACTCTTTGAGAGAGTTGTGGTGTGTTATTATCAAACTCAAATACTTGTATCGGTTTGATCCTGAGTCGTTGAAAGGATTGAGTTTGCTCTTGAACTCGTAAAAAGAGCGGTGTACCGGTTTGGCTCTGATCCGTGGAAAGAGTCGGAAAAGTTATTTATTCAAATTCCCAAGAGGCGCTTGGGGAGTGGAGTAGGTCGAGTTTGACCGAACCACTATAAAACTACGGTGTCATTTTCTCTAACTCTTTCCTATTCAATTTCAAGATTATTATTATGTTTATTGCATGTTCTACTTGATTATTGTTTTGACTTGAATTATTTTGTTTTAGTAATTATCATCTTCTACTTATTTGTAAAAAGTTTTATCATTAGAAAAATTAATCAAGTTTAAACACTTTTATCGTTAAAACCCTATTCACCCCCCCTCTAGGGTTGCCATACCGATCCAACAGTAAGGACTTTATAAACAAGATTTGCTTTTATTAACGTCGGATCTAGACGAGTAAAAACGTGTCATAAATATCCTCATATTAGCTTAAACGTATGGTTGTTTAACGTTAACTTTTGTTTGTTTCTATTCTAAATAAATTTAAAGACAATCGCTGCACTGTGAAGTGTTGATTCCAAAATTCCTTATTTCCTCCCTAATTTCCGTAAAAAAAATGTGAACGGTTAACTTTTTATTCTAAAACTCATTATCTAACAAAAACCTCAATTTCTTCATCATACTTTTTGACACGTATATACAATTTAGAGCCTAAGCTCGATGCCAATGATTATGATAGAAAAAATACTTTGGTATCAAACGATTTTTTTGTAGCGTGAACCCTGAATTCACAAACATTAAAACATCCGAACCTATATGACTATAACTTTAATTATCGAGTTAGGCATAAATCATTTAAGATCAAAGCTCTCGAGACAAGACAAAAAAAATATAAATAGACAAACAGGTTCATTGGCCCAAGCTTGATGATCAATCATACTTAAATATAATTGGCATGCAATTCAACACGTGAATTTCAGAGTTCGAGAAACTATTTCGGCAACTATCTACTTCTAAATTGTAAAGTTGATTTAAGACACATTTCCCAACTTTGTAAAGTTTTAATTTGAATCCATAAAGTTTGAAGTTTGTTTTACAACAACCATTAAATTTATGGGCGAAAAATTTCGTGTAATGGTTCAAGTTCACCGCTAGTAGATATCGTCCACTTTGACTCGTTACATATCGCTATCATCCTCACAATTTTAAAACGCATCAACTAAGGAAAGACTTCTACAAGCATATAAGAAATGTTACTCTCTCCTTTTCAACCAAGGTGGGATTTCAAAATCCACCCCTTTTGGGGCCCAACGTCTTCAGTGACACTCTGTTTGGTGTCTAGCTCTGATACCATTTGTAACAGCCCAAACTCAACTCCACCGCTGACAGATATTGTTTACTTTGGATTGTTACGTATTACGGTCATTCTCAGGTTTTAAAAGACGTCATCTTTAATGACAATTTTTAAATTTTTTTAAATTTATTTTTCAAAGATAAAAAACCTAAAAGTGAGAGTATTTTCAAACTTTTTTAAAAGTAGTATTTTTATTAATTTAACACAAAATTTAAATGAAATGAATTAAAAAAAATTATAAATCATAAAACTTTTTTTTACCTCTAAAAATCGAATTCAATTTAAACAAAAAAAAAAAATAATAATACTCCAGTTTATCTAATACCGATGCCGAAAGTGGAAATGTAACGGCACGTATAATTTAAACGGGTAAATTTTAATGTCAAAAAAAAAAAAAAAAAAAAAAAAAAAAAAAAAAAAAAAAAAAAAAAAAAAAAAAAAAAAAAA